GAGAGAAACATCGATCAGCTGCCTCCTGCACATCTCCCACTGGGGATGTGCCCACAACCCAGGTACATGCCCTTGACCGGAATCGAACCTGGGACCCTTCAGTCCGCAGGCCGACGCTCTATCCACTGAGCCAAACCGGTTTTGGCTCTTATTTTTAATAGTTACAAATTTATCCTGATTTTTATTTCTCTCAGAGATGTGAATTCTTTCATATGTACAATTAATTCTTAATGAACCACTACTGATGATTCAAATGCTATTGCAGAAGTAAATTACTCAATTCTTTCTTTCTTTAATGCAGTACCTATGAGAATTAGCTCATCTGTCATCTCACAAATCCTTATATTATACCCAAATAAAAACACAGGGTCAGCAGACTAAGTCTTTAGAAAGTTCTGCATCTCTAATAAAAACCTTCTTAATTCACTTATAGACTTTCCCCCATAATAAAATCAAAAGAGCCCGGCGAGTGTGGCTCAGTGGTTGAGCGTTGACCCATGAACCAGGAGGTCACAGTTTGATTCTCAATCAAGGCACATGCCTGGCATGTGCTTAAATCCCCAGTGGGGCGGGGGTGTGTTCACTTTAGGCAGTGGTTCTCCACCTTCCTAATGCCGCAACCCTTTAATACAGTTCCTCATGTTGTGGTGACCCCCAACCAACAAATTATTTTTGTTGCTACTTCATAACTGTAATTTTGCTACTGTTATGAATCGTCATGTAAATATCTGATATGCAGGATGTATTTTCATTGTTCGCGACCCACAGGTTGAGAACCGCTGCTAGTGTTTTCAGAGAAACCTTCAGTGTTCAGAAAACACCATCTGTTCATTCAAATATTTATCAAGTGGAGACCATGGCAAACAAGCTTACTGAATGGCTGATCTACACAGAACTTAGTCTGGTTGCTTTGAAGGGAAGATAGGTACACAAATGATTAATCAATTACCACGTGCTACAGAGTATGGGAAATATAGGGTGTTGCTATAAAAACACACAGAAGTCCAGCTCAGGTGGCTGAGTGTCACCCTATGCCCCGAAAAGTTGCTGGTTCAATTCCCAGTCAGGGCACATACCTGGGATTGATCCCTAGTCAGGGCACCTACGCAAGACAATGGATCGATGTTTTCTTTCTCACATGGATGTTTCTCTCTCCCTTCCATGTCCTCCAGTGAGGATTTAAAAAAAAAAAAAATTAAAACACACAGAAGAGCCATTAAACTTGGGAGGCCAGCAAAGGCTTCCTGAAGGAAAGCTGAGACCTGAAGGGCAGTAGAGTTCATTTGAGGGGTTAAAGATAGCAGAGAAGTTCCAGGCAGAGAAGCAAGACATACAAAGACTTAAGAGGTGAGAGAGCATGGCACCCTCCTTCCCTAATGCACACACGTATATCCCACCAACCCAACTCCACTGTGAAAGCGAGTTGAGTCACCATGACTAAAGTGTCCAGTTTGAAGGAAGAAGATAGCAGCACAAAAATGATTAAATGACACAAGAGGTAAGCAGAGGCCAGATCTAAATGTCCTCTTTAGTTTAAGGGATTTAAAACAACGGATAACATGATCAGGTTCTTGCTTTTAGTAGTTCTCACTAGCTGCAATATGGAGATGGGACTGGAGACAGGACAAAACTTGGGCAGACATCTAGTCAGAAAACTCGTGTGACATTCAGGAAAAGAGAGCACCCAGGGTAGCTAGCAGTAGTAATGGAGAAGAAGAATTGCTAATTGCTGAAAAAATGCAGTAAGAAGCCCTTATTAAACAGGATGAATAACAAGAGAGTAGGAAACAAGATAATACTGAAACATATATACTGAAACATTTGAACTTAATAGAAAACAGCACATTTATTCACCAATCATTTGAAGTGGGCCTTGTCTCTGAGCATGAACCTACAAAACTGGAATTCCACATCATGTTTTTTGCATTAATCCCCTTCATCATTTATGACTACCACTCCCAGACTGATGGTATTTGAAGTGGAGCAAGATCTTGGACATTGATAATCAGAGTACAGAATCTTTCCAGAGTTGGACCAGCCTTTCACAGTTGTCTTGCTCTTAATTCCACAGCAAATATTTTAGTAACTTATTTTTCTGTCTTTCCAAAGCATACTTTAAAATATACTTTTAATGATTTCAGAGAGAAAGGGAGAGAGAGAGAGATAGAAACATCAATAATGAGAGAGAATCATTGACCAGCTGTCTCCTACTGGGGATCGAGACCGCAACCTGGGCATGTGCCCCTGACCAGAATTGAACCCAGGACACTTCAGTCTGACCATGAAAATTATAAACAGTACAAACCATTACGGGAATAACATTAAGTCAACTGATGGCAGAGGGTAAGAGTAAAGAGAGCCCCAGCAACGTGGCTCAGCTGGTTGGGCATCGTCCGTGCACGGAAAGGTTGCCAGTTTGATTCCGCCAGGACGCATGCCGGGGTCGCGGACTCCATACTCAGTTGGGGCGCATACAGGAGGCAGGTGATCAATGTTTCTCTCTCCCTCTCTCTTCCTCAACAAAATTGTTTTAAAATAACAACACAGAGTGAAGAGTGATCCAGATGGGCTTACTGGCCATGGCTGCCCAGGATAGACAGGCATGGGTCAGAATGATTTCCTGCACTGAATGACGAGTGGTTAACTCTGGTTGATTTGGCAACTCAATTAAGTGGCAGTGGGTTTTAACAGTGCTCCCACTGTTGTACATTAGTATTAACATACTGATGCTTTCACTGCAGGAAGAAGAGTTTTGTTTTTCTTTTTAAGAGCAAGGCTGCTGGGAAGAGAATAAATTCCATTTTAATTATGCTGTGTATGAGGGCTCTGTACAAGAGCTAGGCTATATAGCTCAGAGGAGAGGTGTGAGGTGGAGATAAAGATGTGGGGCCTTGGCCAGGTAGCTGAGTTGGTTAGAGTATCGTCCCAATACGCCAATGCTAAGGGCTCCATCCCTGGTCAGGATACACACAAGAAGCAACCAATAATACATAAATAAGGGAAACGACAAATTGATCTCTCTCTCTTTTTCTCACTCTCAAAAAAAAAAAGTAAGATGTGGGAGTCAGCCAGTGAGATCACCTAGAATTGGGAGAACTCTGAAGAACCCAAAGATTTAAAGGATATGAAGAGGGGGAGACACCAACAAAAGGAGGAGTAGTGCAAGAGGTAATAGACCAAGAAAAAAGTATTTCTTTGGAAAGAAAGGAATCCAGAGGGCTGAATGCTACTTAGAGTCACGTAAGAACAAAACTAAAACACTTACATTAGATTGAGCTGCAAGAAGGTTGCTGATGACATCAGCAAGACAACTTCAGTGTAGTCATACCGGGAAGCTTAGACTGCAGGACTGCATAGTGGGAAGTAAGGGAAAGTCAAGGCAGTGGAATATAGACAAGATGTGTGGTTTCAAGAGTGGCCAGATAGGGCAGTAGTAGATGAGGTCAAAGGGAAGGGAATTACAAGATGGGAGAGAACTGGGTGTGTTTAAATGCTTCTTCAGAAGAAATCAGTAAGATTGGTGTGTCTAAAGACAAGAAGAAAAGAGGCTCTTCAAAGGTAGGATTCAGAGCTCAGATGTGGGACTAGCTCCTCTCCAGAAATAAGAGGGAAGAAAGTGAAGGGAGTTTTACTTGGGCTGTTTGTGTGGGTTTTGAGGAAGCTGAGGGAGTTTCCTCCTGAGCGTTAAAACTATCAAAATAACTGATGACCCAAGCAGATGCCTATCGGGAAATGCCATCTCACCCAAATCAGGCCAATAGAAGCAACCAGATGTATTAAGGGCAACAAAACTGCTACCAAAGTCAACAGATACATTTCATAGTGTATAATAAAACTTTTACCCTATAAAACATTTCCAAACAAAAGAAGTCAATGGTACACCTACTCTGGAAAACAGTTTAGCAGTTTCTTTAAAACACAAAGCATGCAACTGCCATGAACCCAGCAATTGTATTTCTGCATTCTGCATCCAACCAAGAGAAATGAAAACTTATGTTCGTGCAAAAATTGATACATGAAGGTTCATAACAATTTTATTCACAATAGCCCCAAACTGGAAACAATCCAGATGTCCTTCAATGGTTAAGCAAACTGTGGTGGGTACATCCACACTACAGAATACTACTTAGCAACAAAAAGGAACAAGTTTGACATATGCCACAACCTAGATCAGTGGTCGGTAAATTCATTAATCAACAGAGCCAAATATCAATAGTACAACAATTGAAATTTCTTTTGAGAGCCAAATATTTTAAAATTAAACTATATAGGTAGGTACTTTGTTATTAACTTCATTAGGGCACTCCTAAGGCTTAGGAAGAGCCACACTCAAGGGGCCAACGAGCTGCATGTGGCTCGTGAGCCGCAGTTTGCCGACCATGGACCTAGATGAATCTCCAGAGAATTATGCGAAGTGAAAAAAATCCAATTTCAAAAGGTTATAGACTGCATGATTCTGTTTATAGCAGTCCTCAAAAAACAAAGATTACAGAGATGGAGAACAAATTAGTGGTGCCCAGGGGAGAGAAGGGTGGTGTGGCTAAAGCAGAAGCATGAGGGAACCCCGTGGTGATGGGCAGTTCTGGATCTTGATTGCAGCAGTGCTTACAGGAAGCTACACACAAGATAAAACTGCATGAGTAATGCGCGCGGGGGCACACGCGCACACACACACACACACACACACACACACATACAGGAACTCCCTGTACAGTTTTTGCAAGTTCCTGTGAATCTATAGTTACTTCAAAATAAAAGGTTTTTTAAAAAGGTCAAATCTAAATGTCTAAGGCTGCGGTTCTCAAACAGTGGGTCGCGACCCCTTTGGCAGTCGAATGACCCTTTCACAGGGGTCGCCTAAGACCATCCTGCATATCAGATATTTACATTACGATTCATAACAGTAGCAACATTTACAGTTATGAAGTAGCAACAGAAGTAATTTTATGGTTGGGTCACAGTATGAGGAACTATATTTAAAGGACCAGAAGGATGAGAACCACTGGTCTAAGGGATTTCCCCCTTCTACTGAGCAATACAAAATTCATCTATCCCCACAACTTCAAAGGATCTATAGAAAGACAAAAATAGATCCTACTGCTGTGTTTCCTGTTGTGAAGCATAAAACCATCCAATATATCCCAAACAATTTCCTTCATACAAACGTTAGGTGAGGTATTTCCAATCACTAAACCACAGGATATAAAGGCCACACCAAGACAAACACCAGAAGGTCGTTGTGTAAAGGTACTTCCGTAGTCTCCTGTAATTAGTTACAGGATGAGTCTTTACATGTCTAGAGTATAATAAAATACTAATATTCCATATGCCCTACTCTTGCCTTTATCTTAGGAGTTTTAGGAGTTTCTCTATGAGGAGTTTGCAAAATACACCTCAGTTGTAAAAAAGCCAATTAATTATGAGAAGATAGCCTAAAACTCTAACTGGGGTTTTAGAATAGCTGAAGCATGTTTATTACAATAACTAGATTATCAGGAACACTCATCTGTGAAGGCTGACCAAAAAAGAAATCTTTTCTGTAGTATCAATGCAGACTGCTGATCTAAGTCTTAGGAAGGAAAGGGCAGGATCCAGCTTGGCCAGAAGCAATCAGTGTCAAGTAATTACAAGTCCTGTTCCAAACTTATTATCAGAAGTCTTTCTTACTAACCGAAAGCCTCAGAGCAGTATTAAGAGGCGGGTTCTGCATGGGTGTCCTAAGAGACTGAAGGGGTACAACATCAAGTTTGGGCGTTGACTAGTGCCGGTTCCCATGTGAAGGCCAAGGGATTAGCACTATGAGCTATATTCAGTTTGAAGTTTACTCCTGACTCCCCATCTCTAATGCTATTAAGCTTCCTTGATATCCCCCACAGCACTACACAGTCTGTAGTACAAAATAAAATTATCATTTCACAATATGTACAAATAATGAATCATTACGTTGGACACCTGAAGCAAATATAATGTTACATTTCAATTATAGCTCAATAAAAATATAAAAAATAAAGTATATTTGAGTATTATGTATGCAGCACTATAATATGCATAGGAACATGTGATGACAGAGCAATCAGACCAATATACAAGACAATAAGAACACGGTATATTTTGTATCTCACAACTGAGTGTTCATTATATCTAAGTTCAGGAAATATCAGGAAAATGTTCATCTGGACTAAGAGAAGTTCAAGAAGGATGGGTAGAAAAGCAAGACTCAGACCAGAGCCAAGAGACACACAGGGTCCAGGAGGCGGATAAACAAGAACAGATTCAGGAAAGCAAGAATTTGTCCGGCCGGTGTGGCTCAGTGCTTGAGCGTCGACCCAGGATCCAGGAGGTCACGGTTGATTCCCAGTCAGGGCACATGCCTGGGGCGTGGGCTTCATCCCCAGTAGGGGCAGTGCAGGAGGCAGCCAGTCGATCAATGATTCTCTCTCATCATGGATGTTTCTGTGTCTCTCTCCCTCTCCCTTCCTCTCTGATATCAATAAAAATATATTTTTTAAAAAAAAGAATTATCATGGCAAGCCCCAAAGGATAATAAGGCAACTGACCTAACTGGATGGGGAGTGTTGAGAAAAAAGGTTAAGGTGTTGGGTGTGGTTATGTGAAAATCATACCAGGTAGCATGGACTTCTAGATAAAGACAACTGAGGCTGCCTGCCTGGTTTAGCTGGATAGAAAACAAAAGGAACAGAGACTGGGCAGGGGCCTGAAGGAACAGCACAGTCCCAGAGTCCAAGGGAAAGCAAGGAACACCAGACAAGCAAGTCACAGGACATTTTGCACTTCTTAGGAAAACTCCTTTGCAAAGCTGTGATGCCGGGTGTTGTGAGAGTGTGAGGGGTGTAGTGTGGCTTGTTTTATTTTAGTCATATTTTTAGTTGGTGTTTTTTATAAGCAGACAATTATTTTAATTTTTTTTTAAAAAGTGAGAGTGAAGGGAAGGAAGAATTTCTAAAAGTGGGTCGTCATCAACACTAAATACCAAAGTGGTTAAGGACAGTAAAAAGAGATAAGGTCACTGAATTGGACACGGAAATAGTGGTGAATGCAACCCATAAGTTAAAAGGCTCAATTAGTATTGTCTGGTGAACAGTTTTGCTCTGAACAAAGTATTGCTTACTAAATAGGAAGCTAACCCCCTAACGACAGAACACTAATGCTGCTCCTTCTAATGACATAAAATTTTACCCAAATATATTTAAGGGAATTATCAAGCTTTGGGAGTTGGAGGGCCTTTGCAGAGCATGCAGTCTCCCACCCTCATGTTTACAAATGATGGAATTAATCTCTGACAGGTTAAGTCCCAAGTTGGCCAGGCACAGACGAGAACCCAGGTCTCCTGACTCCTACTCGGTACTTGTTCCCCCCATAAAACACTATTAAGTTCATTTAACGATTAAGTATGTTTGTGTGGGTTTTCCCTGTAAGGTCGGGTTTTTGAGGTTATGTAGTCTTGTGCATTTCCCCTTTTGCTGTTGAATCACACATTAAAACCAATTTCCCAGGGTCAGCACATCTGGGAAGTCTTGGTGACTAAAATATGGCCTTACAATTCTAGTGATTTAAACATTCAGATAATTACTACCCTGTGCCTCTCTCCATTTCAATTTCACTACCTTTCCTGAAACTTCCAGTCTTCCTTAAAATTAACAGTCATTGCATTAAGTATTAATTCTCCATCACTTTGTTTAAAGTGGGTTATGAAAAAATTTCTTATAAAAAGAGCTTTTTAATGTTTGCCACTAATTATAAAACTCCATGTACAAAATTATGTTAATTCATGAATTAATGAACTTGTAGTCACATGCAAGGTTCAAGTAAACAAATCTGTCAGCCTGAAGGTAAGCTAGGCTTCCCTCGCCTTCGGCCAGGTGGGGAACACCCAGCCCAGGGCCACATAAGGCTCCGAAATCATTAGGTCTGGCCCTGCAACCGACAGTGGGACTCGAAATTCAATAAATCTAGGAGTTTTATGCATAGCAACATAAATTTATATTACGTGAATTATATTAAGTGAATGATGTTAGAAATATCCAAATGGGCCCCAACTGGTTTGGCTCCGTGGATAGAGCGTCAGCCTGCGGACTGCAAGGTCCCAGGTTCGATTCCGGTCAAGGGCATATACCTTGGTTGCGGGCACATCCCCAGTAGGGAGTGTGCAGGTGGCAGCTGAATTGGTGTTTCTCTCTCATCGATGTTTCTAATTCTCTATCCCTCTCCCTTCTTCTCTGTAAAAAATCAATAAAATATATTTTTTTTAAAAAAGAAAGAAATATCCAAATGGCCCTTGGCAGAAAAAAGGTTCCCCTCCCCTGCCTTACACAAACTTTTACTCTGACAAAGGTTCAAAGATAAAATTTGTTGACATTATGGATCTTCCTCAGGTAAAAATGGAGCATTTTAATTGAGTACATACCATTTTCACATTTAAATAATGAAAAGAGCACCAATATAAGATAAATTGCTTCTATTTGATAAATTTAAATCACTGGTGAATTCCCAATCAAACTGCTTGCTTGAAAAGTCATTATAATCACAGCACTGTGCAGCCCTCAGGACATTCAACTGGTACCATAAACACAATGTCAGCTTGTTGCAGAGAGAATATTACACATATTTAGATCACTGCACCAGCTAGCTAGACAGGAATTAGGTTGTCAAAGGCCAATTCACCCCTTAAAACAAAAACAAACTCCTTCAAAAGTAACAACAACCAAAAACCTCACACACAAAAATACTAGTACATGGGCATTAGGATCAATCTAAGGGTAGAATAAACTGGTAATAAACTGAATGCATAAATTTATGTCTGCAATGACTCCTTATATTGAATTCCTAGCTGAACCTTTATTCTTCCTTCAGCTCTGGAGGATGCTTATGTTTTGAACAAGACTTTGAAAACATTAAGGTCATACCTGAATGATAGACAAAGCTGTACAACTCCAACTCAGAGTTACATGCATATAACTCAAGAGCTGGTCACACTCTTCTGTCTCTAAACTCCCCTTTTGTGTTTGCAGGCTCCCCTCTCTACCCCTAGGGGGTTCAGTTCTGTACCAGCATGCCCCACAGAGCCTCAGAAATGTGTAAAAAAACATCTGAAGGAGTGGAAAGAATCTCAAAGGAAATCCATTTGAATCTCCTAGGACTCTAATCTAGGATTCCTAAGTAAACAGGCTCTGGCTTTTAAGTTTTAAGCAAGGTTCCTTTCTCTTTGAGGTCTCTGAGACTCCGATAAGAAGTATGGGTTCAGAATCACATGCGCAAACACAAAAATGCACTACATTCTGACTAAAATGTCATAGGGCATGCAGGTCCCTTGTGAAAGTACCTCCTCTTCTGATTATGAATTTCTCCATTATAGTGCTTGGTTATTGGAACTCTGAAATTCTATTTCAATTTTTTTTTTAATCCTCACCCGAGGATATTTTTCCATTGATTTTTAGAGAGAGTGGAAGAGAGAGGGAGACAGAGAGAAACATCTATGTGAGAGAAACACACAGATTGGTTGCCTCCTGCATGTGCCCCCCCACCCCCACCCCCAGCAGGGCAAGAGCCTGCAACTGAGGTACATGCCCTTGACTGGAATTGAACCTGGGACCCTTGGGTCCGTAGGCCGACGCTCTATCCACTGAGCCAAACTGGCTAGGGCTTGAAATTCTATTTATTTTTTTTAAAAAAATCATCCTATATAATAAAAGACTCATATGCAAATTGTCCCCACCGGCAGGAGTTCCACAGACTGGGAGTTAGACCACCAGGGGGCGGCACGGAACATGGTGGGCGTTGGTACAGCCCTGGTAGCCGGTGGCAGTGGAGGCGCTGCCAGCCCCGATGGGCGCCAACGAGAGCAGGACCACAGTGGGATGGTGGAGCAGGTGAGCGGGCAATGCCAGGCCAAGGCAGGTGCAAGCGGGGGCCCTGATCACCCCGCCGGTCGTCCCACAGATCATCGGCCCCGATTGCCCGCCAGGCCTAGGGACCCTACCTGTGCATGAATTCCATGCACTGGACCTCTAGTCTAAAATAAAACAACCTAAACACAGAATTTGAGTTAAGGCAAATAAGACTTTGCCTGCTGCCCCAGGCTGGATGACAGTTTTAATTTACTTGGGACTTTCTGTGTGACTTCCTACTGTTGGGAAGAGATAAGACATTATTAAAACAAACAAAGCAGGAACAAAAAGACAACCATAAGAATGAAATTAAGAAATACTGTTTAAAATGTATATTAAAGAAAGCATTCTTACAATATTACAAGTTCCCCATAAACAAACTAATAGAGTTCTAAAGAGACCTTAGTTTTTATTTTTTTTCCTCTTTCTCCTTATGGATGATGGAGAACACGCAGGAATTGTCTAACAACCTGGCAAGGCAAATTCATCTTCCCCTCTTCTGTTAAATCCAGGTTAAATCTATCACCAAAATTTCTAGCTGTATTCTATTCCAAAGATACACAACTATAGTTTGTTACACTATAAATACAGTAATGAAAAACTTTACTTGAGCTTTGTTATTTCGGAATAGGAAGGAAAAAAAATAAAGGCAACTGAAAATAGATTTAATAATGGGCAACAGATGAGTATCGATGATGTCTTTTAAGCAGGAAGAATGCTTCAGATTAGTATTAATTCTTTTCTGCTCTAAAGAGTGCTACTCAAGTAGCTCTACTGCACAGAAACAGCTGAAATCTGAAAGTCATGTGAGAGCTGACAAGAGGAAAGCAGAAGGAAGCACTTCTGGGTAGAAGGACTGAATAGCTGATGCAAGAAATAGGGAGCCCTGTGGCTTGAAGAACCTAAAAGGCCTAGGAAGGAGGCTGGAGAGACAGTGCCAGAACCTTGGGGATCCACAGGCCAAGCTACCACTTGCCTCGAAGTGATTTCCCAATTACTGTAGTGCCCATTTCCTGCTATTCTATTCAATAAAAATAGGTCACCTGACTTCTAAGAACATAAGCTCTGGTTATCTGCGTTCTAAGAATTTAAGTTCCTCCCAAAGAAACTAATGGCTATTTTTACTTGGGATGGTTTTAGGAAAAACAACAACACACAAACCAACCTGTAAACATTCTAAGCAGCCTGATTTTCTGTCTTGCAGAAAATGTTGCTCATCGTTGGTTAAAACAAGACACAGGAGCTCAAAGTATGTAAACGGAATTAAAATTTAAGTCGCAAAGGTGTTTTGATATTTTCGCTAAGAGGTTTAAGGTACCTTCGCTGCCTACAGTAAACTAAAATGCGATGAAATGGAAAGCACCGTGCCCTAGTCCTGCTACCCGTCCTCAAACACAAAAAGCTGTCCTTTTGACTTTGTACTTCGTTCACACTTCACACATGTCACCCATGCAGAAGTCGTTCTTTCCCAACCAATACCAAACTTTTGGCAGGCAGCTTACGGAACACACACATCTCAATGCCAGTGCGTGGCCACCACATTAAACTGACCTCATGGGCTCGCCCCAGGAAAACCGCAAGCACCAGGGAAAGATAAAAAAAAAGCACTTCGTAGTCTAAATACAGGTCCTTTGGGAGATAACGCAGAGGAACAGCGGCGGGGAGGAGAGACGAAGGTGGCTACAGAGTAAATGAGACACGTCCAAGTTACGTCTATCACCAAAACTTCTAGCTGTATTCTATTCTGAACATACACAACTACAGTTTGTTAAACTATAAGCAAGGTAACGAAAATTTTTACTTGAGCTTTGCTATTTCTGATTAGGAAGAGAAAAAATAAAGGCAACTGAAAATAGATTTAATGGGCAGCGGATGACTATCGATGACACCTCGTAAGCAGTAAGAACCCTTCCGATTAATATTAATTCTTTCCCGGACCCACCTAACTCGTTCAGCGGCCCTGCATCGCCGTCGGGGGCCCACCTCGGGACCAGGGGCCGCCCAGCGGGGGGAGGAGGCGGGGTGGCG